AGATGAAAACCTATTCCAGGAAATTGGTTTGCTACGGGATTTGATTTTGAATGAAAGAGATGTAAATAACACACAAGACATATGCAATACATACTAAATAATAATTATAATGAGTTATTTCTAAATGTATTAACTGTGTTAAAACTTTTCTTTGCGTTGCCAGTTACTATAGCAAGTGCTGAGCGCTCTTTCAGCAAATTAAAATTAATAAAGAATTATTTCGATCCAGCATGTGTGCAGAACGCTTAATGCAATTGCTATATTAAGCATCGAAAAAGAAATTGCAAAAATTATCATTTTCCTGAAGTAATTCATGTATTAGCAAGAACAAAATCACGCTTTAAATAAACATGCATTAATATATGTTCGTGTTTGTAATTTTTTTTATTTTACAAAAAATGTAGGGCCCAAATAGTTTCTTGCACCCGGGCCCCTTTATAGAGAAGGCCGGCCCTGCATAAGTGTCATGATTAACTTCATTAGTGTTAATGTACAGACAATAAAAGCACTTGCAGTAACCCATCAGTATAAACCTCGATGTCGGTCAGGCAATCACCAGACCCAAGGCTCCTCCTAAATGTTGTATGAGGCAAGTCCACAAAAGGATTGCTGACCTCGTAGCAAGAAGCAAGCCCGTATTACTAGAAATAGTGATGCTCTTCTCCCTAGAGAGCAGAAATCGTCCAGTGCAGTAATGGTTTGGTGGAGAATGGAAGGCTTCTCTGCAATAACAGGAAGAGCAGTATTCGAAATAGTGCGATAGCAAGGAGTAAGTCGTAGGAGTGGAAGACCTGGGCTGTTCTAAGGCCTATATGAATGAAAATTCTGCAAATGTAAATACTGTAATAAAATCATTAATTATATAATTAATGATTTTATTACAGTATTTACATTTGCAGAATTTTCATTTATTCTTTGACTGAATTCAAATTTATCATTGAAGTATATATTTAAAATGGAAAAAAAACAACAGGTTTTTTAAAAAAAATATTCTTTGATGATTCTTAGTAAAACAACTTCCAAAAGTTTTCTTTTTAGATCTGTCAACCAAAATTACGACCCAGAGCAGGTCCTAATCCACTGATTGTACTTTATTTTTAAGAAGAGGTAGTGTTCTCTCTATATACAAAATTTC